CTCGTGCTCATCTTTCAATCACTCTTGCTTGCTCCACTGATCCAAGGAATACCTGAATATTGACACTTTTAAAACAATAATTTATTTCCTTGCCTGTGCTTTCTGCCCAAAGTCCTTCTGAGGCCTCCTCATCTGCCGCCCTGATTTGCGTTAACCTCCTCCTCAATTAAAGCATCTTTAGTACCGTATTACAGTCCACTCAAAGCACCATTTCTGAGATGAAGTTTCTTGCAATTTCTTGGATGCAGTTACCTCAATCACTTCTTCAGTTTTCATAGTGACAAGCTTAAACTTAATGTCCTCATCTTGTTAACCTTTTTCAACATCAATAATTTTGTAGGCTCTTACCATGTTTCCTTCTTTATTTCCTTTCCCTTTGTACTGTGATTAAAAGCAATGGTATCAATGATGTACAATTCTTCTAAGAAAAAAAAAATAGAGCCATTATTCTACTAGCATAATGTGACAATTGCTAAGAATAACAAAGGTTTTAAGATTTTACGCAGTACTCAAAATACAGACATTGGTGGAGACTGATTTATAACACCTGGGTGCTGTTGAATGTTCTATATTCCAGCAGTACCTAAACTTGAACAAAAGGGAGAAGTTTTGTGACTTGTCCTGGGGTGACAGAAGATTGGCAGGACTCAAAAACATCTTGCTTTTAGTCTTCACATTATTAATTTCATATAATACTAATAATCAGTTGTTCCAAGGAGCTGGAACTCAATGGAGTTCTGGGAAGAGATGAAGGTACAGATCCGTTCTTCCAACAGCCAACTGGATAACTTGCATTGATACTGGAGGAACTGGTGCTTTCTTCCTGGAGATAGTGCTCTAGAGACGACTGTTTGTATGACACTACTACAATTTTCAACTTTCTTTTGTCTACCACCAAGTCACTGACAGGAAGAGGCTGACAGCCGTTCTCCCACACCAGTGCTGACATCTCAGAGGCTCTTGTTCAGGCACGACTCACTACATCGACAGACATCCATTCTGCTGGGCACCTTATTCTCTCTTTCAGCTGTCCATATGATTCACCATTGCTGTAATGCCTGCAGAGGTCCAGCTGGGAAGATGAGATAGCTGTACTGCAAGTAGTTACAGTACAGGAAAATTGTTCTTACTTATCATGGTTGCACCCTACTCATTCTTCATGTCTACTTGTTTATATTCTTTACCTGTTTTTTCTCTCTCCAGTGAGCTCCAAGCATGCAGAAGTAGAAAGGGTGACAAAGCTACTTAAGTCTTAAGTAATTCTACTGATACAAGTTCAGAGTGAAAATCCCAGGAAGAAATTATATGCAGAAGAGGAGGTTGGTCTAATCCCAACTAATGGACAGTACGCTAAATGTTTGTGCATCCCTACTGCTAAATGAACTGTCACAGAAGTTTAATGTGGTAGTGTTTTGAAGTTACAGTACCGTCCCTTCCTTAAGACTTCCATTGCACTTTTGGAGATAGATACTTCTGAATTTATTTATTTATTTTTAACTAAACCTCAGACAACAGGGAAGCAAATATTCCCTGTTTGGATGTTGTTTAATTTAGAACCTGAACCTCACAAAGTCATTAGGCTTTGGGTGGCAAATTGGGGATTAGCGCCTTGGTGACATCTTGCTTATTTACAGGAATGAACATGAAAGTCCTCCTTTTCTCAAAGGCAAAGTTTGTTTTACATTAACTGCAGAATATCTCCTGCCGACTGCTCTCCCACCAGCAGCATTTCTCTCCTCCCAGGCTGAAGCTTACAGCTCCCCTGCTTTTGTCCTCTCCCTCATCCATGGGTCACTCTAAATTAGTGCTGCCACTGTCCCTCCTGTTGGAAACTGCTCATTTCTGTCCTGTCCTTCTGCAGATGTTGGTGTTCATTTATTCTCCTTGAAAAGGCTCCCTGAGGAAAAGTAACCCCAGCAAAGCAGTAGGTTGATTGCTCCCAAGGACTGTCAGTGCCTCTCTGAGGAACGCGTGGGCATGGGTTCATGGCTAGCTCTGGGAGAGCAGAACTCTGGAAGTTTGGGTTTAGATGACCCTGTTCTGTAATAGCACCTCGAGCTACAGATTTACACCCTAGTGTTGACATTTGGGATTCACAAGATTTAACTGTTACTTGCCATGCAGCCTATTGCTCCGAACAGTGCCTGCTGTTTACAGCTTCTTTACCAACACAGAAAGACTTGATTGCTCTTTCTATTGAGCTTGACCTATCCATTGTGTTAAATTCTCTGCCTGCCTTCAGATCAGTGCTTAATGACAGTTCTTTTCTCTTTTGAGCCTAACAGAGTGATAGCTTCACTTTTTTCATAGATGTGTTGTAAGTTTGAGAAATACAGATTGATCCTCCAACAATGAAAAAGCAGCAATTTCATAGTTTCTGTTAGAAAAGATGCTCTGTATGAGGTTACCTTCTGACTTGAAACATCTAAGGGGAAAGATTAGATTCAAGTTTTCTGTAGTTAGGGAGACAGATAGATCTCTCCTTTGCAGGGTGATTGATCCCAGCTTACTATTGGTGTCTGGGATGGCTGGGAAAACTGCTGATCCCTGCTGGAGCCCAGTCAGCTGGGTGATGGTAGATGCCTCACTGAGTGAAGTAACTTCTTAGCAGTGCTGACACAGGCTTTTCCTGGCACCTCTCTGCCCTTTGCCTTGGGCTACTACAGGTATTTGTGTGACTGCAGGGTGAACTGGATCAGGGAATCTTCTTACTTATTTGTAGGGAAGACAAATTTCCTGGTCCCACAGCAGCAGGAGTGCTTTTACTGGCGGAGTGGAAATGAGGGGTTTGGGTAAGGCACATCTAAGCTCTTTGAACATGGAGCAATCGCACAGGTACAGCTAACTGAATGATTCTTTTTTATTTATTTATTATTTTTTTTTTTATTTGAAGCAGGTCTTGTAATTTCTTTTATAAATAAAATTCTAACTCCTTGCTTACCAGAGTGCTCTTGTACAGGTGATGGAAGTGTTTACATTTTCCCCATGTGACCTTGATGCTTGTTAATTTTAGTCAGATAAAGTTACATTAGCCTTTTGAAAAATGTCACTTACCAATATTTCATCCAAATAAATGCTGCATAAATATTTTTATGGGTATTTATCTAGTGTCAATATGTACTTCACACTCCCCGAAGGTATGGTGACGATATCTTCATCCCAGTTTCCTTGCAGATCTAACAGGCTGCTCTAACATCCTGCTCTGGCAAATGAGAGGCCACGGATGCAGAAGCCAAGCAGTGCAATGGATTTAATGTTTTCCTCTATATTTTAAAAATAATTTATCAAAATATTTTATACATCCTTTTAAAGACGACTGGCGCGGATGGATGTTTTAGGGCCGGGACTCCAGCGGGAAGTGCCGGGAGTGGCCCGTAGATGGCAATCTAAGATCCGGGAATCGGGAGTCTCCTCTCTGCATCGATGAAAAACAGTTATCTTACCCAAACACTGACACACTGCTTGGATTTATAGTGTTTCTTAGCAACTCCTGACTCTTCTAACAGCGCTGACCAACTCATCCTCTGTGGCTAGTCATGCATTTTGAGCACTATAACTTTCATAATTAGAAATACAATCATACTCAGATACAGCAATAATAACAGATTTTGATTTACAGGGAAAACTTTCCCTTTGGTGTTGCATATCAGTAGTATGCAAAAGCTTAAATATGCATCATGGTCCTGTGCTTAAAGTACTTTATCTGTGAGCCAGAGTTCCTGGTGTCAGTGGAAGAACAAGGAGTCTGTAGGAAAAAATGCATGTGCAGGTTTACACAAGTCCCACCAAAAGGAATATTATATTAACACAATAACAGGGCTTATAAAAGCCTCTGTGGTGTGATGAGGATTCCAGCCTTACCTCGTGATATTGTTGCTGGTGCTTCTTTTCTGTTCCCATCAAATCATGTTTGTTTTCATCCTGTGATGCCCATGTTGCATTTGTGCTTTCTCACCACACTAAAAAGAAAACTTCACGCACTTACTGTGACGTGTGATGCTTTGCAGTCTTAACTTTCCCCATGAAAGTCCCCAGAAACATTCCTCTTCAAAATTAAAGACACCTTCAATTCCAGTGTCGGATCTGGTTTGCTTGAGGGTAGTATTTCTTGGTTTCCCAAAATGTGAAACAGTCATCTTTTCCTTGGTTGACCTGGGAACTACTACCACTGTAAAAGTTACAGATGATATCACTCAGCATCTTTGTGCATTGCTAATTAAAATGAAAGCATTGCTTCAATTACTTCAGCAATTCTGTGTCAGAACTCTGTTTCTATAGATAATTAATTATAGAAACTTATTCTAGTTCACTCAGTGTTGTTGCTGACCACTTTACTTGCATGCTTGAGAGCTGTAAAATTAGCTGTCTAGTTTTGGAAACAAATAGCCTTGTTTTTTAAAAAATTCTAATTCCAGATGATGTCTGAGAAGTACTTGCATTCCAGGTCGGTCATTTGAGCAGGCTAATTATTGTAGTTTATAGCCCTGTTTTTCTGGACCCACAATGAATGTAGGAATAGCATTATGACCATAATTAAGAATGGCTAGAATATTGCTGTCTTTAAAAAGGATATCTGATAAAGGAGAAATGGAAACCTTAGCTTGACAGCGTTACATGTATTTATCTACCCTAGCTGACTTCAGTGTTGCACAAGGCGGCTGTTGAATTCATGTCATGAGGGCTACAGGGATAACAAATTAATATTTATAAAGTGTAGCAATTATGCTCTAATTACCCTAATTGGCCTGCTGTGTTTCCAGTTATGGCAGAACTTTATTTCTGTTCAAGAGACGTGTGCTTCTGGATTAGTTCCCGCAGATAAAGAGAAAGTAAAAGCCCTGTTGGACAGGGCAGGAGCATCCCCTGATATTATGAACCTGCAGTTTCTTCACTGTGCTTTTGGCAGGGCTAATAGCATCCTTAATATCTTTAGTGATTTCTAGGGAGTGTTTCAGAGGATATGAGATGCTGGAAAATTACAAAGAAAAGCAATGAGCAGAAAGGGAGAGAGGTCTAGTTTTATTGTTAATCATTAGTAGGCCAAACTCTGACCATTTTCAGTTTGGCAGCACAGCTCCTTGACATTATTTGTGATGTAGAAATTTATCTTTATTTGTGGTGTATGATTTTACATAGTGATGGACAGCTACCAAACAAGGAATCCTGTCCTAAGGACTTACACTCTAATGTTACAAGACAAGACAGAACATGCACAAAGCTGAATTGATTCAGTGAATTACAAGTTTTGAATCTAAACTGATCTTCACTTTCCTGGTTTTTATATGATCATTGCTATGTTAGGAACACTGAGATCATTAGTAATGCTGAAATGGGATTGCTAAAATGCCACTGAGGAAGTGGTAAATGAGTGAGTGGGTAAATCATCTAGTGTTAAACATTTTCTGTGTTAGCAGTAGAACTTTTGAAGTGTATTTTTGTTGACATTCATCTGCTGTCATGAACTCTAGTTTCATGCCTTCAGTTCTGCCTGGTTTCTCTAGGCTGTACTCTTTGTGCCCATGGAATACCGCAGTTCCACCATCTCAGAAGGCAGTGTACTTGGACTTCTCCTCCCCCACTTGTATTTTTGGTACCCATGTCATCTTTTGGATAGATACTGAATTCACTGTCAAATCTTGAATAAGGAAGCCAATGGAACTATTTAACACAGAAAAAAGTAGGCCATATACTATTGTAGTAACTGCTGTTAGAGAAGAATATGGTGAGTAATGAATGTGAAAATGGTGAAACCCTGTGACAGCTGGCCCAGAGTCAACTGGTCAGGTTAGGGGTTAATGTCACTGACTGACACATGAGCACAGATTGATGTCACAGTATCCAAAGTCACATTTGTCACTTTGTTGTTTAATTTATGATTAAACACAGTCAATTAAATCCATGTAGTTTTAGGATAGCCAATCCAGTTTTCAGCCTGTTGCAAACCCAAGAGAAGGATATGAAATTCTGTAGCTTTGTTATGAGCAGTATCTCTTCCTTTCTTCTTGTTTTAACTGACTAGTCCTTTTTCTTATCTAAGCAAACAAAAAATCAGTAATTGTATGGAACAGAACTATTTTATAATCAGGCATGAGCTGCCAAGAATATTTGCCGCTTTCTTACTGTTCGAAACTGACCCTGACCAAGAACAAGCTGACCTCTCTGGATCTGGATTCTTTGTGCTGCTTCGTATTCCTTGGTCCCCATACACAGTGAACGAGATGTGGAAAGGACAAATAATGTAGAGTTAGTGCTGGTAGATATTGGTGGTTCTGTGCAGTTGAAGAATAAGACTCCAATTCATCTATTCTTGCATTAGCCTTTTAATGTGACACCTGAATTGGGGTTCTAGTTCATTCTAGGCTCCTTCTATTAAAAAAATAAAAAACAGAGGCACTTTGGTAAGTGCCTAAAATGAATTTTTACTCCGAACCATAGTCTGTAGCATAAAGGACTGTTTGAGTGGATAGCTTTTGTTCACAGAGATTCCTAAGAAACTTTGGGTTTGGTTACAGAGGAGAGCTATAGCAATAGGAATGAGATCCTTCTACAGCAAAAATTTTTGCTTTTGCATCAGCCTGAATACCCAGTTAAACTCTACCCACACAAGTCATGAATGTACAGAGCATGCCAGTTTTCCTTCCCAGACATGCATCTGATGATGTGTAAATCCATGATTCAGTTCTGCATGATTCTTTTTATTGTTTAATTGGACATTGCTGAAGTATCTGACTATTCAATTACACTACTAAAGCCTTTGACTATGGAAACCTGGAGTACTGAATTACAGTGGAAAAAATCTAAAGGGACAAATGCAGACAAGTTCTATATATTCCCTAAAGAGAAATTTCCCTAAGACCTTGACCTGTAATGAATGCTAGTGTAATACAAATTATTCCAACTCACCTTGCTAATTATGCTCTTTGATGTAATTAGAGAAGTCTTGTGGCTCTGTCTTCATTTATCAATGCTGTACTAAGTGATTTTTGTTGCTTTTGTTATTGTTTTTGAGGAAGGAGGATGGAAAGATTTTAGAGAAAGTAATTTAATATACCACCTTACCTGGAAATTCTGGTTTTATTGGGGATTTTTCTCTTTCTCAATCTCCACAGATCCTTCCTGTTCTTTTCTGAATCTGTTAGATTCTTTGGTTAAATGGTTAAAAAATTTTAAAGTTATGTCCCAAGTAACTGTGATTATGATTCTTGGGACAACATGGAGGAAAGAGGTTTCCTTATAGAAGCTGCTGAATTGGTACCTAGTTTTTTCTATACTGACATTCTTTCCTAGTAAATGCTTTCTGTCACAGGCAGCCTGCTTCAGCTAGCAATGCTCTTAGCCCAGACTCTCCCTTAGCTGCCACTTACTTCTCATATTGACCCCAGATTGTCAAGCATGCCTATAGCATGTGTGACAGTCTTTCTATGCCATAAGAAGCACATGAAAATGAAAAAAGAGGCTATCACTTTATTAATCAAAAGTAATACAGCTACTGCTGTTTGAGTGCATATGTACATATTACTGCAGTATACAGAGATAATATAAATAGCAATGCAAGCCTATCTCTACTGGAGCCATGCACCACTTTTTCAGTGGCAATTCAAACAATTCTTTTGACTTCATAAAAGCACAAAGTGTTTTTATTGGAACTTTCTTGTTGACTGTACATGCTGTTAAAATGCAAAAAAGAGTGACAGCTGACTTGGTAGCTATCATCAGCTGTGTCACTGGAAACAGTCAGCTTTTGACTCAATCCATAAATTTCGTGAATTTGAGTAAAAATTCAGATAATATACTGTAGAGGCATAATCATCTTAGACCCTCAGCCTTCACAGTGAAAGATGGAACACAGCATGTGGGTTTCATACTAACGTTGTGATCTTAAGACTTATAGCTGGATTTATTTAGCATAAGAACTACAGTATGTATTACCTCCTGTAAAGTATAAGCAAGTTTGTTACAGTGATTCATAATAAAACATGTTGATATGCTTACAAGTAATGTGTTGCCAAGCACAAAATTACATAGGGGTACATCCAGGATGGCTTATTTGTTCCTGGTTTAGGCAGAACTTTGAACAGGCAAGATGCTTTCACAGGTTTGCTCAATCAACACCCAACTTCAGGGTGATACTTTTTATTTTTTTTTTTTTGTGTTGGACAATAACTTTAGAATTAAGCTATAATTTGGGGATAAAAAAATCTTTATTTTTTATGATACATGAAATAAATGAGCATTAATTTAATGTTTAGACCTCGAGAAAATTGATGTACCTTCAGCATTTATTAGCTAGCATAACATGGAAATAAGCTTAGGTTTTATTTGGTAAGTCTTGATTTCTCCTTATATTCACTTACAGCCTGTCAAACGCATTCTCAGATGAGCAACTGTTGCTCACAGGACTAATCTAATTACCAGTTCTTTTTATAACAAATGCTGACACAAAGGTAGAAGGATGTATAGCACTTGTGCTGAAGCCAATGCTACGGATGATCAAACAGTTTTGAAATTAAGAGTATTTTGGATGGAAAGTATATCCCTTTTTTGTCCAACTCTAATTAAAGCTGAAGAACAAGAGTGTAAAGCTGGTTACATTCGTAGCTCTGGCACATAATTAATTGTCAAGAGTTAAGACTGGATATTTGAACACTCTGCAGTAATGCTCCATAGGCATATTTACCTACGACAGGCCGAAGAATGCTAGAGCCCTAATTATTTGTAAAGTAAATTTTGAAAAGTTTTAGAATTATTGTATAAGAATATCAGAACAATTTCAAATTGTATTTTAAAGACATTTGAAAGGAAAACCTTTGGGTTTGTGGGCTTGGCCAAATGGCATAGGAATTCTACCTTTTTTGAAAGGACAATGTTTGTGTCCTTGGCCTTAATTTAAATCACAAAACCATCATGCATTCTGGCATTTCTAGCAAGCTGCTTCAGAAGTGCCAATAAGCAATAGTAATTTTGAAAATTAGGATAGAGAAGCACTGGTGAGTGCAATGAAAACTTCTAAAATTCTCTAGCTCTTAACTGTTAATAAGGAAATTTAGTAAAAAAGAGGGGAAAAAAAGGTGAAACTCTTCAGATTAGCTTTTCTTTACATCTGAGCACACAAGAAATCAAACAAGTGGATTTAATTAATTTTTTAAAGTTTTGGAGTTTTTCTCCTAAGATGTTAGGCAAGCTAGTCTCACTCACTCTAAAATAAATGGGAAGTCTGTCACTAATTTTCATAGAAACCTGTGCCAAACCTGAGTGTCTCATTGACCCATGTACTCTCACTGACTTCAATAGGGGAACCTAGACCAAGACACACATGTAGATGAAGAATACACAGTTGTGTTTTGGAACCTTAATTGCTTTTTCATATCATATTTAAAAATTTCTCCATTACTATGATGTCTGTAATGATGGCAAAGGTAGAGTTAATCAAGTCTTAAGTCCCTCATGTTTGAGGACAGTAAAATATAAAGCTGTCAGTACCCCCCCACTCCATGACTCAAATGATATTTTCTTTTTTTCATCATTGGCAACTTCCCACGACCATATATTTTCTGCTCCTTTTAAAGAACCAAATGCTGAATGTGAATGGGTAGCCGCAGCATTGATTTGCCAAGTAATGGTAGGGTGTCCCCTGGAAACAGGCCTCTTTGAATTCTGTTTCATATCTGAGGTAAAGTAAAAATATGGAAACAGATGGTAGAGAACAACTGGCATCTCATCATGCATATTTCATTCGATTGCAGCTAGTAACCTCTTGATAATAATATTAAATGCTACAAAACTCAAAGGCTTTGTTCTTGGGAATACTGCATTCAATGACATAGGATCAGCACTGTAACTTCAATTAAATTTTGAAACTGGTGAGCTGTAAGTATTTACATCTTTAGCAAAGTTATAATACAAATGACTCGATTCTTCTTTTCTGGTACATTTAGGGCTGACTTACAAAGAAATATACAGTTGCTGTTGTGAATGACAAATCTTACTTAATGTTTTTTTAAGAGCACAATGGGACAAACATCTGTGGTTATTTCCATTACGCTCTAAGGCGTTTTACTGGGAGAGAATTTAGCCATTAACTTTGTTGTATTTACATTATTTATATACAAGAAGAACAAGAACAACAGCAGCCTGTTTAATGATTATATACATTGTGATTTGATTGGAAAAATGTGTATTACAAATGACAAAACAGCCTGTCAAGTACATAATTATATGTTGTTCTTTTTTTTTTTTTTGTCAGAGAACTTTTAATTCCTAAAATCCAACTGTATGATCTCAGTGAAAGATCTGTCCTATACATTATACTGGAGGGGAAAGAAACAGCATTAATAGACTTCTTAAACCACATCAGTTCTTGGTTAATAGCTTCTTTTCTTAATTTTAGTATGAGGGTTACTTTTGTAAAATGCTTCCAAAGCAAATTAAAAGATGGAATCTGATACAACAAAACATTACTTGACATCAGGAGAAATAGTAACTTAAATTTCATTTGTTGTCCCTTGTCTCAGAAGAGATACTGGGGAATAAAATATCACTCCCTTGTGATGCATTGCTTATCTGAGACTTTGTTTTTAATAAGAACTGTGCTCTCCTGTACATTATTCTTTCCTGTTCTTGCTTTAGCTCAATGTAGGAGCGTGAAAACGTGTGGAAGATGGAGGTGACTGGAAATGCCATGAGGAGGATGCCACTCAGTATGCTGCTTAGTGCCACCACTTGGCCGGGAATGCTCCTGGGAACCATATCTCCATAGCCTACCGTGGTCATGGTGATGACAGCCCACCAGTAGCACGCGGGGATGCTGGTAAACTCCTGCGAGTCCGCCATCTCGTTCTCAATGACATACAGGAGCGGTGCAAACAGTGCGATGGCCACGCAGAGGAAGAGCAGCAAGAGACCAAACTCCCGGGTGCACCTGCGAGCGGTCAGCCCCAGCGTCTGCAGCCCCAGGGAGTGCCTGGCCAGCCGCATGACGTACAGAATCCTCAAGGCACGGAGAATACGAAGGACCAGACCTACTTTGTCCAGGTAGATGCTCCCAGAGCTGGGCTTTTTATAGCCCACTGAAGTGGTGTCTACTAGCAAAGTGATGTAGTATGGCAGAATGGCTATTATGTCTATCAGGGTTAATGGTCTCCGCAAAAATGCAAACTTGCTCTTTGCCTGGATGAATCTTAGCAGGAACTCCAGGGAAAACCATGCCACACAGACAGACTCCACAATGAAAATATTGTAGCACATCTGGGAACACTCACCCTGTAGGAAAGAGGAGGAGTTTGTAATTGGCACTGGATAATAACTATTTTAGTTGGTACAGTGACAGGAAGAGAAGTTTTTGTGGGTTTTTGTTTTTTTTTTTTTCAACCCCAAAACATTAAAGAAATTGAAGCTGTTGCTGTGGGGAAACACACTGACAAATTGCAACAAGTTAAATGCAAAACTTAGAAAGGAACTACTTATTCCAAAGAAGATATTGCCTGGTAATTTCAGGCTTTCTAAATAGCAAACACAAAGCTTAACAAGGTAATATACAGTTGTATAGAAGAGTGCACACTAACATAATTTTCTTTGGACATAAAACTTGATACGATTAATTCTCTTACAAATAATTGAACACAGTAATGTAAGATTTCAAATACCCCGTGTTATTTTCCCCCCTCTAAAGACAGCTGCAAAATCCCCATGTAAATCAATACCATCAGACCTTGTACTTGTTCTGCTCTTCCCAGCACATACCATTTTCCATCCTGAAGAGCTAACTTACCTTTTCCTCCTCCTCCCTCAGGTCTGGCATGGTGCTGATGGATAAGTTCACTGCTGTAATAGTTACAAATAAAACAGACAAACAAGCAAACACCTTTCCAGGGAGGCCGGACTGGGGCCTTTCCACCATGTCTTGCAACTTTCTCATGCACAAGCCAATTTTTGTCTCCTCTACTGTTTCACCTGTTGTTTCATTTTCTACGAGGTCATCCTCCCGTTCATTTATTTCCGTAAACTCCTCCATTTTTTGCAGATATCTCCTTTTACAACACCAGTCCAAGTTGTCTTCCTCAATTCCCCAGTAAAGCAGCTCCTCTTGGAAAGACAGTGCACACATCTCACGCAAGAGCCGAAGTTTTCCAACCCGCAAAAAGGTCAGGATTGTCCTGAATGCCCCTGGGTTGCGGTCGAAAAAGAATTCATTACATGTCACATCATAATCATCACAGATGTTTAGAATGTCGTCAAAATTATTACAGAATTTTAGTTGTCCCAAACGTGTCAATGGGAATTCATCAAGCGTGGTCCATGGGAGCAAATACTTAATGCCCCCTACGTTTATAATAATATGATGCTTCCGATCATCAGGGTGAAAGCCTTTTAGGAGATCCTCTTGAGGGTGAATTACCTTGGCTCTTTGGTAAAAGACTCCCTTAAGGGTTTCTGTTTCTGGAAAGAATGTGTGGTTGAAGGAAGTATCTGAAGCACAGCTCAGGGCACTATAGTCATAGTCGGAATTTTCTCCAGGTAGAAGAGTCATCTTGGAAGATAACTTCACATCACTTCGCTACTTCTGCAAGTGTCTTCTGGAACAAAAAACAGATATATGGGGTGAGTGAATGAGAAGTTGTTTTCAAGTTTGGAACAAATGTAGTGACTGGAGCTCGAAAACATTTATGGCTGATAAAAACAATTGGAAAGAAAACAGCAGTGGCTGAGTATGGTTAGAAGACCTTTCTGGTGAGGCTGGGTTTATCCAGCTGGGTAGAACTGACTCTATAAAATGCTGCTCCCTTGTCTGGGAGCTCTACTTGGCATATTTGTCACACTGGGGCGCTCCTCCTGTCTCAGATACAGAGGTCTCAGTTGCCAGTGGATACAGAGGGAAACCAGGAATAATTCCAGCATGTGGCAGGATATTCCTGGTTCAGAATGGAAGTATAAAAATTATGACAGTATCACGTAAAAACACAGAATTTAAGTGTGTTTTGTAGAAAAGGAAATAGTATATTTTTGTTTAACTATTACACATAAAAATCATAATAATTTTAGTACCCATAAAGTATATAGAAAGAAACAGAAGTCAATTATGTTGTAATTCAGTAAATACACACTTCTGAAAAACACTTTGTACAAGACTAATTTCTAAAAGGCCATATGGAAACAATTCTGGGAAAACACACCCCACATACTGACGATCACATAAAATGTTTGTATAGCGTTTATATACATTTACTGACATGGCAATTCCCTTTTTATGGCCTCATTTACAAAAGATTGCAAAGAAATACATGATTTCTACACAAACTTTGGAATATTATTTCAGTTACAACTGCATCCCATATGTAGTAATAGGTCTTTACCCTTACAATGGATTGAACAGTAGCTGAGAGCCAAAGTGATGGCCTTCACCCTGATTATAGGAAACGAAAAAATTCTTATGATGACTTTGAAAATCATGTTCAAATTCTGCTCACACAACACTAGTGTAAAGTCTGTGGAATGAAGTAACCACAGAGTTCAAATAGGTACAAAAAGCAGGTACTGGAAATGTTGAACTTTTTGCCTTCCTAACTCACTGCATTTTAAAAGTCAGACTGAAAGTCTGCTCACACACTGGAGCATTGAACAGTACTGCTTCTAGATCTTCCATCAGTACAGTGTGGAATTGCTGAGTTTAATTTGATAAGAGTATTTATTTATTAAGTAGATTGTACAAGAAATAGATATTAATTATGCACAACTGTTCTAATTTTCTAGTCTCAAGTCCACAGGAAAGTAATAAATATTACACTTGATTGGCTTCAGTAGCAGTGCACAGTTTTGCTCCTTCCCTGGCTGTACTTACCTCCCCTTGGATATTCACCCTGAGGTTATACACCCTGCTAGGGTGACTTCCTTAAACACAGAACAGTAGTTTTCAGAAGCTGGGGTTTACAAACCACACCAATAGTGTTATGTATTTATCATAGAATAAAACCCCATGAATACACAACAGCAAAGTACTCAAAACACAGCTGCACTTCAGTTTCAGAGCAACAGGATTCCCTTGCTGCAAGGGGGACTTATAATGCTGTTTTCAAGAAAATACTATCTCAGTCCTGCTCCTACACTTCCCAGAGGGATAACTCTGAACAGAGCAGCTTCTTACATACTCTTACAAACAGGTGGCCCGAGGTGAGCTGTGGATGGAGTGGTATTTCCTGATTCCTCACCCGTAATCCTCTTTCGTACAAAAGGAAATTAGTAATTTACTTACCTTTAGGGCATGTGGATAAAGAAAGCCTATGGCAATATATGAGAATGGACGAGGCGTGATTCAGATCTTCCAAGAGCTGTGGTACTATTTTCTGGCCTGACGTAAGCAAAGAGGTAAGCTCTGTCATCTTGCTTCTATCACAAAGTGGGATCTCTATTACTATTAGTAGTGACTTGAGAACAGCTATTTGGCAAGTAACCTGTTCTCCATGCCAAAATCCTAACTGTGTTTAGCTTTCAGTGCCTCATCACTACATACTCGCTTGTATTGCTGAGTTGCTCTGTCTCTGCTCCAGTTATGACTCTGGAAATCCCCACAGCAGGGGATGGGCAATTGTGAAACTCCTCTGGAAGTAACAGTGGGTGCAAACAATGACAAAATCCCCCAGGCCTGCACTCAGATAAACTTCCAATCAATCTTGGTTTGTCTCTTGCCCCAAGAAAGACAAAGCGAAGGCCTGATGACCTGACAGTCTTCTTTTCAGAAAGTACATTAACATGAAACGTAATTGTATTAAAAAGTCACATTCTAGGAAATTCTAGCCAGTACTGGGTTTATCAGCAGAACTTCATGACAGATGATGGCACTCTGCCATTGCCCCCTGGAAGAGCTGCAGGACTGAAATAAATGAAAGGATCTGAGGAGAGTGATAGCTGGCACAGGTAGTGATAGCTACAGCATGGTGAACAGAGGAAGTACGGAACAGTTGAACTTCCACTTACCCTGACATACAGTCCCATCACACGAGGCACTCCTAACAACCTCAGAACTGATCTTCTGTTAAAGCATTCCCAAGGTACCCTCAGCAGAAGTAATGCCACTGAGAGTTCAAGCTATAGGTTTTATGTGGGAAAACAAGGCTACGTGATATATGTTTATGGCGGGCTCCCTTTCCCAGAGCAACTGTTGTTTTTAAAGCCTTTTCCCTTCTGTCTCAACTATTTCTAAGGCAGGGCTGGCCCAAAGAGAATAAAGATGATGACTGATGTAAGACTAGGGATAAATGGGAGCTGTTAACCGTTTTCCCTTCTGTAATACCAGATGATGTTGGTTAGCAACAACTTATCCTCTGAATCTCAGCCAGGAAAAATGAGGAGGCAGCTCATCTCTGTCACTGGTTTGATCTCCCACTGCATCCATTGTTGACACAATGGGAAGAAATGGGGAGAGGGAAATGTAAATGTTCTGCCTGTGTCAGACACACGCTGTAACCCTGAGGCATCAACTGTGAAACAACATGGCAAAGAAAAAAGAATTTCTTTCTTCGCTTCCAGCTTCTCAACCTGTGCAAGACAATAAATTGGACAAATTAATCCCACTGAATGACTGCAGTTATAAAAGGTGGCTCCATCTTTTTCCATAACCAGAACTGGCAAGCCCACAGATCCCACGTAGGCAGCTATAGTATCTGATGCCGTACATGTGCTATTTACATGTTCTCTGCCTCAGATACATACAGTAACCTATCTAAGGGAGAAGAACAGGTTGAAATAAAGGACAATAGAAAAGATGACCTGACTTAAAGGAATGGAGGAAGGAGAAGAATAAACCCATAGATTTCTCTGTATGTTTCTTGTTTTCCTTTGGAAGGTGCTTCTACAGAATGATGGTCGGTACTGCTTAAAGATGGGAGAGATCTAATTCATGGAAGGGTTTTTTTTGCTGTTGAGCTTAAAAAACAAGAAAACTTCTGTTCATACATTGCAGACTGATGACACTGGGGATGGCTGTAAGAAATGCGTTAAGGATTAAAGACAACACACTGGAATGTAAGGTCAGACGAACACAGCCTATAGAAATAATTTTCCCAACAATTAAACAAGATGAACTTTAAGGATATTCTGTAACAGTAAAATCCTCAAATAAAACTGCTCTGGTGAAGTAAGGCCCAATGGTAAAATCCCTCCTTGTCTGAGATTGTATTCTGCCCTTTGAATGCTAGGGAGTGAGTGAAGTCCAGTTCATCTTCCCAGCTCCCCTGCTGATAATGTGTTCTCATCCTGGGCAAATCACTTCTCTCTGAGCATCATTTCCTATTTTGTTTGTAAGCTTACTGGGGCAAGAACTGTCTCTTATAACATTATACAACCCCAATCATTGCTCTGACTTCTAGAAACTACAGTAATACAGAATAGCTGGCCCATAGCAAGGGCTCTTGTTGACTCTAAATGGTGTGGTGTGCATGTGAAGCAAGATAGAATATCTTTTCAAAAATCTGTCTTGCACAAGATGGTATTCTTATCCATTATGTCTGGTGAAGAAATTGAATTAGAAATCTGTACTAGCCTTACTTTCAGCCAAAATTCAGGAAGGGTGCCAGACTCCTAGGCAATGGGGAAAGAATTATTAAAGATGCCCTTCTGAGGGAAAGAAATAGAAATCATGAGTAACATGCTAAAATTCCACTGCAATTGTTGTTTCCCCCCTCAGTGTCCTCTGCAGTATTTTGAATTCTGCAGTGCATCTCTGATGTAATCAGAGCTCCTGCAAGGAGTCCTGATACTGCTCTGTGATGCAGACAATTCAAAGTTGTGCCTGGATGATAACAAGCATGCAAGGAAGATGCATAACTCCCCCCGAGACTCTTCTATCAATTCCAGTGCCTGGAGCTTGTCTCTGTTGCTTTCTACCATTTGTAAATTAAGTTAAAAAAAAAAAAGTTTCAGATTTCAGTGCAGGTTGAATATGAATATAGTGATTTTTTAGAAAGAATTTAATAAGAAACTGCTTTATAGTTTAGTGATGCTTCCTCCTTTTTTCTTTCCTTAGTTAAAATAAGCAGTATTTTCAAGCAGTGTTAAATTCAGCTATCTTCTGACACAAGATTTCTGTACTGTATCAACACTGTCAGGGTACCTTCCCGAAATACTTAAAGCTATACTCATGCAGCTCTTTACGTAGTAAGAACCAATCTCAAACTTCAGCTCTGCTTGAAAAGTGAGCTTCCAGCCAAATCAGAGTAAAACTTATAAAGGTCAATGTATATCATGAAATAAAACCATCCTGGAAAACATATAATCTGAAAAAATATGCTCATATCTGTATATTGCTCTCCTTGATCTGGACAGTGTTATGCTTTTTGGCATCTTATGACAACCTACAAACTGAATTATGACAAATATGTTACTCAGTGTTTGCTTTTATAAAGCTGAGCCTTATTCTGCTGATAGTAATCAGAAGTGAAATAACTTTGCTGATAATTTATATCCCTACGAGAATGTTCTGAAATACAGTAGAACTAACAACAATAGTTATTATCCTGCTGTGAAATATATTTATGT